TTCTTTTAAAATTTAAATAAAGAGTAGAAGTGATGACATTGGAAATATGTATGCAGATCTTGGCCACAAGCATCAAAAAAGATTAATAAAAAAAAGCTTAATAGAACCTCCACTGACACATACTGGTTATGTGATCCTACACAAGTCCCTTAACTTCTCAGTTCCTTTAGTGACTTTCTAAGACTCTACATTAAAGAGAAGATGCCCGTCTAGTTTGAGAAAGGGAATTTTTTCATGGTGGATTGCCCTATACCAGTGAAATCACAGATCCACTTCCGATCCTTATTTCAATCTTTGTCCCTATGCCAAATGAAAGCCAGTATTTTGTAGTGGGAATATTTCTTGACATGGAGTTAGGGAGATGGATTTGAATCCCATTTTGGACTTTCTTGAAGTGGGACCAAAGGAAAATTAAAACTCCTCTGAACCTCAGATTCCCTTCTGAGACAAGAAGTTATAGATAGATTGAAATTTGTATTTGTGGAAAAAGCCCTTACACTCACTATACAGTAGATCATTGATACACATAATTGAAAAGTCTTTCTAGTTATAATGTTATAAGGTATTATATATGACATTCTTTATAAGGATAAGAATTGGACCTGTGATTTCATTTGGTGTAGGGGGCTTTCTGATAAGCAAACACCCTCTTGTAATGCAGATCAACATTTTCTTGCAACTTCTAATTTTAAAGAATTGCCTGGAGCACTGAGGCATTAATTGACTTGCCTCAATTATTCATACAACATCTATGAAGGTGGGTCTTGAACCCTTATCTTACTGGTATTAAGGCCAGCTCTTATCAAATATATTACATAGTCTCTCCCCTCTCCTCTGAAGCTGCCACTACCATGGTGCAAGCCCAAGGCACCTCACACCTGAAGTATTACAATAGCCTGTTGGCTGGTCTCCCTGCCTCCCCCCCCCCCCCATTCCATTCCATTCTGTCTTAAACTCAGCTGCCACAATTATCTTCCTTAACAAGATTGAACATGTGACTCTTCCTCCATACTCAACAAACTCCAGTGGATCCTTATCATCTCTAGAATCAAATATAAAATTCTCTGGTGTTCAAATCCCTTCATAATCTGCCCCTTTCCAGTTTTGGTAGACCTTCAATCACCCCCCCCACACACACACACACTCTATGATACAGTATCACTGGGCTCCTTGCTGTTCCTCACACAATCATCTCAATCTCCTGACTCCAGGCATATTCACTAGCTGTCACATGTGTTTGAGATTGTCTTGCTCCCCATCTCTGCCTCCCAGTGTTGCTGGACTGCTTCAAGTCCCAGCAAAAACCCTACTTTCTACAGGAAATATTTCCCAACCCACCTTAATACTTGTGTCTTCCCTTTATTGGTTATCTCCAATTTATCCTGTATATAGCATGCCTGAACGTAGTTATTTGCATGTTATACCCTCCATAAAACTGAGTTCATTTAGAACATGTATTATCTTTTGCTTTTTTTTATCACCTGCCCTTAGTGTAGTGCCTGAAATGTAGTGGGTGGTTAATAATGTTTGTGGACTGAGTTATTTAAAATTTAGTTTTTATTAATATTTCTTAATGTGCTTATAATTTCTATTTCTTCTGGCAATTTATAATTGCAAGTTAATAATATAAAAACAATTGCTTGACAATGAAGAGAGCTATAATACTCTCTTTGTTTCCAAAGAAGCCTTAGGATACTTAGTCATGGCATCTGTGTACCCCAAATGAGCCATGCCCTTTACCTGAAGTCACTTTGTAGGGAAGATAGACATCCCATTCAGAAATTCTAATAGGCAGCAGTTAAGAAGCCAACAAAAAAGACCATTAGAATGATTCAAAGGACCTTATCCTCCTCTGTAGACTTTTGAGGAGGGTTGAAGAACCATATCAATGAGGGCTGCAATGTTAGGGAAACTTAACCTTTAATTCCTTCTATTACAAGGACTCTCATGTGGCTTTTCTGGTGAACAGATCACTTTGCTCTATTGTAAATCTACATATTTCCCCAGGGATCAACTTTGTGGATCTTCTTTTAGTGCAGGCTGGTTGGGACTTCTGAGTACCTGAAATGATTTGGTTCCTTTCCATCACCACCATTATCTGTGTGGATCTGTGTCAGGTGGGAGGGATTTGTGGGAATTCATGAAACAGTCAATTTACTGGGGGGTCCTGGCTGCTGAAGAAGATTGGCCCTCAGGTTTTTTCTATATATCATGTTTATTAGGGTATCCTGAGAGCTCATCTACGTCTAAGAGAGAAATTAGGGAAGGTATTATATCCTCATACATTCTCACTGATTTTCCCCTGCAGTCTGAGCTACTAATTCAATGGTGCATTTAATAAATGCATCCAGAACCCTCTGTCCATATGCATCCAGAACCCTCTGTCCATATAGAAGTGTTTGGTTGTTACTATTTTTTGCACAATTGGGGAAGAATCAGAAGGGAGGAATATTTTTAAAGGTATTCTTCCCTATCTCTGGGATTTATATGATAAAGTGTAGAAATCTCTGGAATAGGTATTAGATAAACCTTTTTTTCAAGCCTGGCTCTTCCCCTTTCCATGGCTTTATTTTTCTAGGCCTCAGTTTCCTTCCAAAATGAATTGGTTGGGTTAGATGATTTCTAGAATCCCTCCATAATCCAAAAGTTTCTAATTCCAAAGATTTTACAAAATGCTTAGAGAGGAAAAACCACGCCTACATAAAATAGCTAAAGGACAATTTCACAGAACTGTCAAGCCAACAAGCTGTAATACAGTGCAGAATGCCTAAGTAAGTTCTAAGGAGACATCTTTGTTGGAGCTAGATGAGATATGTGATTTACAGAGGCCAATGAAGTTTCACCTCGTCATACTTGTAGCTTCACACTGGCCATAAGTGAGTAGTGAATGGTCTCCACAAGACTGAAAGCATTCATCCTTTAAATCTGAGTGAAATGTAATTGTGTTGCAGCTGTGCTATCTCATATCCTCTGGGTTCAAAGCCATATTCAGGTCCTCTAAACATTGAATTCTGGGAACTTTCCCAGCCTGTAATCAAGGCAGGACCCTGTGGCAGAAATCCAGTGCAGATGCTTGGCTAGATGGTGACCTCATGTTTTTTGCTGACTCCTACTACCTCTGCTTTGGCTGCCAAGAAGTCCTGGACCAGAGCCACACACAAGAGCTCAAAGCAAATGGACCCAATAAGCTCTGTGAGTTCGGGTGTGTTGATCTCCAGGCACCTAGGAGGCCAGTCATTGAAGGCTGAATTATTGCTACAGACACATGAAATAAAAAAAAATTTCAGCTGGGTATCAGGGTGACCAAAATCATTGCTCAGTATTTAGTTTCATTAAAAGATATATCCTCAAATACTAAAGACCAAACTCATTTATTTTCTTATAAATTTATAAGGCATTACAAAGTGATTTCAAAAAGTAGTTTACCAAATGTCATAATCAGAATTACATGCAGAGAAATTAATGAAAAAATCATAGCCCATATTTATATAGTGCCTTAAAGACTGCAAAATACTGTACAATCAATACTTCAGTTAAGCCTCAAAATAGACTCTTTTGGTAGGTTCTATTATTATTCCCATTTTACAGATTAAAAAAAAAAACTATGCCTCAGAGAAATTGATTGAATTGCCCAAGATCACATGGATCATGTAAGAGGTAGAATTCAAACTCTGATATTGCTGCTTCCTAAGCCCAGAATTCTACTCATTATGCTATAAAGGTAAGGTGAAAGAAGCTCCAGGCTCCCAATGATGATGACAGCTTGCATTTACATAACAACTTATGTTCTGCAGTGTACTTTACATATAACATCTCATTTGATCCTCATTACAACTCTAAGAAATAGATGCCATTATTTTCCCCATTTTACAGATGAGGAAGCTGAGGATGAGAGATGTTAAGTGAATTATAGAGGCTCACAGAATTAGTAAGTGTCTGTGGCTGGATTCCACTGCAAGTCTAGCACTCTATTCTATTTCATGATACTACAAATTTGTTAAGTGGCTGGCCAATTTTTATACTATTCTTTTAGATTTATAGAAGGTCCACCTTGCCAAGGTCCCTAAAGTTCATCTAGTAGATAACCTCAATGTCCAATTGAAGGAACCAAGGCCCAGAAAGTCTCAAAGTGTCCTTAGATTTTTGTGTCAGTCTTGTATCTCTGGATCACAAGCTTTGTGAACAGAGAGGTCAGGCCTTATGTTTTGTATCACCAAGCACTGTCTGTCACACGGCTTTGAATGTAGAAGTCGGTCTTCATTTCACTTGCATTTTTTATATTGTTCTATAGCTACTCTAGTAATTTAGTGTATGGATGTACGTAGCTTTCCTTTTCATTTATGAATTACATTGTAAGATGAATTGTTGGATTTTAGAGCTAGCAAGATACGGGTTAAATAGGATGGCATTCAATTTTGCTATTGGTAGCCCAGTTTCCACTTAGTTTTATATGGTCAGTTTCTCTCCCTTTGAATAGAGCCTAAAACTGTAGAGTTCAGCTGGGAATTAGGTTTTGCTATGCTGAGGATAAAAGTCTGTCAGCAGAGGCAGGCTTTATTGAGACTTTTAGATAGTAATTCAGTTTGCCTCTGGGGAGTCTAATCTTCAGGGAATTTTTCTATGTTTCATTTCAATCTCTCTGAGCTTGAAGATGAGAGATTTAAGAAAAAGAAAAAAAAAACAATGGGGAGTCAGTGTAGGAAAGAAAGCATCATAAGCAAGGAGACTATTCCTTATTGCACTAAGATTGGGCCATTTCTGTCTCTTTTGTCATACGAATGAGGAAAAATTATTTTAAAATCAGTTACATGGTGGATTAATCAGCAAACAAATTTGTATTGTGGAGTGAGAATTTGATTCTGTGACTGGTTTGTCATATTCATTAGTCAATCTCCATATCCTTTTTAGACATATATCTATTCTTTTGCAAAATGAAGATAGCGATACCTGTTTTTTCTTGCAGTATGTATTCAGATGTGACATATTTGACCTTTCAACAGGTGGCACTGGAAACTGTAAAACCCTGGAATTACTGCCAAATGGTCAGCACAGCATAAAGGCAAGCACTCTTCATTTGTAGTCAGTAAACTTGGGATTTCATTACCAGTTTTGTTAATGTGTTTTTTTACCTATATGACTTTGGACAAAACAATTTGTCTCCCTGAGTCTCAGTTTACTTATCTGTAAAATAAAAGGAATGAATCACATATGAATCCTTATTACCTTTTTAAAGTCACATGGTAAGTTGTTTTGAGACTTCATTGAGATTCTAAGCTTTATTTGAAAGATGGAGAAGACAGGTAGGTCCCAGGGAAATGGTGGTTCTAAAGTAGGACTTCTTGTTGGAAAGCTCTTGTTCCTAGTTTTCAAATGATCCAAGCCATTTGATCCTTTTAGGATCACTTACATTATGTGTCCTCCTAAATTTATTTTTCTCCTTCCTCCCATTTATTATTTTTTTTTCTTATTTGAACTTGTAGAGTCAGTCAAGAATAGCGAAGTAGTTCTCAGAGGATGCATCAGCACCAAAACCTAGAAGAGGCTGCTGGCCATGGTGCTGATATAGCTGGGCTTTCATACAGCACAGCTGTTACTGCTGAAGGCAGATTAGCTAGTATTGCAGTGCAAGCAGGGGTTGTTGGCTCTATGAACCAGCTAGGAAGTCCCACTTAGAACTCATAGTTGTACATTTGTTTCTCCTCTGCATGTTGAAAATAATTTAAAAACTGTAGTGAGTAATGGTCAATACAGCACAATAGCAAGAGCTCTGTATTTGCAATAAATGAACTAGGAATTTAATTACAGATGTGTTATTGTCCTTCTTACCTATGTGATTTTGGACAAAACAACTTACCTCTCTGAGCCTCGGTTTACTCTTCTGTAAAATAAAAGGATTGAATCATATGAATCCTAAGGCCCTCTGTAGTTGTGATCCATATTCTGTGTATTCTGAATCCTGGCAGGTTTACATTATCATATGTGAGCTGTTTGGAGATAAGAGTGCATCAGAGTTTCATCTTGGCTTAGTTGATCTGCTAATGAGTTTGTGGCCTGCAACAAATATTGGCTTGTCAAGTAAGTTCCTACATTCTTGTGTGAGAGCTAAGGTTCTGAGGTCCCACATTTATCCACCACATTGAGAGAAGGCAATCATTAGTATCAGAGGCTGGTCCTACCTTGACCCCAAATACCTCATAGCAGTCTAGGGAATTTTAAGTATTTTAGAATTTGGGAGTATTGGTGAGACATCCCTGCATCCCCCACTGACTAGACACAATCTTGTGAAGTTTTCTTCATGGTCTTCACACCTCTCCATTTAGTACTTTCTCTCACTTCCTGACCCTATTTGATTTTAGCTTACTTTCTCTTATTAGTAGCTAGTAATAAATAGCAAACGTTTATGTAGCACTTTAAGGTTTGCAAAGCACTGTGCAAATACAAACTCTTTTAATCTTCACAAGAACCCCAGGAAATGGGAAAACTGAGGCTGTAATTTTCCTAGGGTCACACAGATAGCAAGTTTCTGAGTCAGTATTTGAACTCAGGTCTTCCTGACTCCAAGGCCACTACTCTTTCCTCTCTCCTCTCTCTAATTACATTACAATATGTTACTTTAGAACATAAGATTTCTAAGGGGAGGATCTGGTTTTGTTTTGTTTTGGTTTGGTTTTTTTTGTATCCTAAGCCCTTAGCATAGTGCTTGGCATAAAGTAAGTGTTTAATATATTCTTGTTAACAGATTGGCTGAAGATTCCTTACCCTTACTCCTTTTGGCTACCAAGGTGCACTTTCTGTCTCTTTTATTTTTGTACCTGATGGTAGATAACTTTATTGTTCTTGGCTGTCTAGGGAATTAGCCATCACCAGAGAAAGGATCTGTTAAAATAATTATTGCTAAATTATTGCTGATAGCTGGAAGTATCATGTGCTTCTCTCCCAGTCATATCTAAGTTTCTAAAATTACATAGTATAGAATACAAGACAAGGTAGCATAAAATTTAAATCTGATTCATGGCCATTCCACTTATTTGTAATGTAACCCTAGGCAAGTCCCTTAACATATTGTTAAGGGAGGTATTAAACCTCAATGTCCTCATTGGATAAATGGGAATAGTATTATTTGCTGAACCTACACACAGGGTCTTTGTAAAGAGAAAATAAGATTGTTATCATAGCAATTCCTATTTATATAACTCAATTAGGATTATAAGGTGCTTTCCCCAGAATAATCCCATGAAGAAGGTAGTATAAGTCTTACTGTTCTCAATTCACAGATGAAGAACAAGTAAGCATCGGTGCCATAAGAAGAACCATGTTCTTTCTAAGTCTGAACCAAACGATACTACCTTGTACTATTGCATCTTGGGCAGCTACATGATACAGTGGATAGAGTGTTGGTTCTGGAGTCAGGAAGACTCATCTTCTGAGTTTAAATCTGGCCTCAGCCACTTACTAGCTGTGTGACCCTGTGCAAGTCATTTAACTCTGTTTCCCTCAGTTTCCACATTTATAAAATGAACTGGAGAAGGAAATAGTAAACTACTACAGTATCTCTGTCAAGAAAACCCCAAATGGGATCATGAAGAATTAGACATGATTGAGAACAACTGAACAATAACAAAACCATTGCTTTATAAATGTAATATGCCATGTTTGAATAAAGATATAAACCCAAAACAATGAATGAACTCTCATGGAGACATTTCCTATCTCTCCTTTTTTAATTAATTAATTTTGATTTATCAACAATCACTTGCACATGTTTTTGAGTTTAAAATTTTTCTCCCCCTTCCTCCCCACCACCCTCCCTAAGCCAGCACACAATCTGATATAGGCTATACATATATATTCCTATTAAGCATATTTTCACATTAGTGTTGTTGTAAGTAAGAATTTGAACCAATAGAATGATGATGAGAATTTGGTTGGTAAGGCTTGTAAGATCTCTAGGCACTTTTTATTTTTTATTTTTGCAAGGCAGTTGGGGTTAAGGGTCCTGCCCAGAGTTACACAGCTAGTAAATTTCAAATGTCTAAGTCTGGATTTGAACTCAGGTCTCCTGACTCCAGGGCCAGTACTCTATCCACTGTACCACCTAGCTGCCCCTCTAGGCATGTTTGAAATCACACAATGTAGGTATCAAGCCTCTGTGTCTTGTAAACCGAGGGAGGTCTATTGGATGACCTCTAACATTGTGTGTGCCTGTGATTTTGTACTGCTTACCCATAAGGCTAACCTTTCCCGTGATTAGGTGGTGTACATTAGAGAGCTCCATGACAATTGACTAACTAGGCATTCATCCACTTAGCTACACACATTCAGGACTCAGTGCCAAGTTGTTCAGTAAAGTTCATGGTAATAATACGTGTAATATCTCTTTTCTTTTTACTTCACAGGAATGTCATGAGGATTGATGAGATCATTTAGGGGAAGCACTTTGAGATCCCAGGAAGAAAAGCATTACATTAATTTGGTTTATTATTTTTTCCTTAGCAGCAGTAAGAAGTACTGTTTTGAAGTAGACTTGAAATTGAAGTCTAAGCTTGCCTGGTCCTTGAATGTAGCGGACCTTTACAATTTGCTTACTGCCCATTTCCCATTGGCAGGGATGGTGGACAACCCTCTCATCCCTTTTAATTCTGAACATTAGAGTGGCTTACCTTTCCGAATGTTTGTAATGTGTACAATTTGCTTTATAAATAAAGGGCATTTTTCATAGTTGACAGTAATTTCCAACAGAAATGTAAGCTAAATTGATGAATTCATTAAGGAGCATATAGTAAGGTAGTCCTCATTCATTTTCATGGGGTGAAGGCTGTGTCTATGCCCTGTTTTGTTTTTAGATTAGTTAAATGTTTTTTTTTTTCTTTTCCTTGATGTAGAAGTCAGGAAACTCCAAAATAAAAAAAAAAAAAGAATTAAGTGTATAGAAAAGCGGAAGAGCTAGAGATTAGTTTTTTGGAAAGATTATTTTAATTTAAATATTATCTTCACCACCTTTTGTATGTTTGGAAGAAGGTAAATCCTCTCTATTGTGACATATTCCCATTTCCACAGATTAACTACTCTCCTTTTCCTAAGCCCCATGGAGACTCTCTTCAAGGCTGCTAAACCTCACAGCATAAATACAGGGTCTAAACAGTAGGAGGTCTGATGCATTACTTTAGTTTCATGACAGGCCTAATTTTTTCCCTTTAATCTTCTCCCTCTTCATTCTCAATGGATCATTTATATCTGACTGGGAACAGCCTGCCTCCTCTAGCAGAAGTGTCCTTATTTATCCTTGAGCCAGACCCTCACAGAAACTGCCTTTCCTTAATGAGAACATTTGAGACTCTTTTTTAGTATTCTTCTTTTCCTTGGCCTTAGACAAAAATCTTCCCCTCAAGTTTGTCCAATTTTTATAAACAAAAATATATTGATTTCCATTGTACCATGACATGCAGGTCCCTTGTTTGACATGGCAAAAAGAACTCTCCCACCCAAATGACAAATTCCATACAACAGAATAAAAAAAAACAGAAAAAAAGAATTATGAAGTAAAAAGGAATTATTTATAAGATCATGACTTAATACTTCACATGGAAGTATTAAGATATGTAGATAGAACAATCATCACACCAAATATTAAGAAAATGCATTATTCTTTAACAATAACTGTAATAATACCATTTCCTTGCTCATGTGATATTAGTGCCCTGAATATATTGTATTCTGGATATTGGAATTAAAGACTGGAATTGAAATATGATACAATATAGTGGGAGAGAATGTAAAAAGGTGGCCAAAATGAGTTGTAAGTAAATGAGAGGAAGACTGGAAACAATGAGAGAATATACTGTTTCAGATTGAGTGAGAGAGAGAGAGAGAGAGAGAGAGAGAGAGAGAGAGAGAGAGAAATACAGATAGAAGCAGAGAGACAGAGAGAGAAACAGACAATTTAGAGAGACAGAGACAGAGTGAGAGTCAGATAGTTATAGACAGAGAGACACAGAGAGAAACAGAGACAATCTAGAGAGACAGAGAGAGTGAGAGACAGACATAAACAGAAAGATAATTT